TCATACTACGTCATTACTTTAATAACATAAGTGCCTCCTATGAACCTAATCTATGCGAGGAGTCGTTGATCGCTAATGGCCATGGATGAAATTTATCTAAAGATTTGGAAATAATAATAACTAAGAATTACATTTTGAGCTAAAAAAAAATAATGAAGGAAGAAATAATTTTGACATAATAATTTGACATTCATAGACACAGCAATAAAATTGATAAAGTATCTAATAGAAAGTGGCTACAGTTTATTACTTGACATCACATACAGAGGAGGTGAATCACAATGTATTCAACATTGTCTAACTTTAAAAAAACACAATAAACACTGTACTCACATTTACACACTGACGTAATTATAACATAAATTAGTGCTCCGATCATAAAAGCTATCCAAAATATGAAAGAAGGCGACATGTACTTCATTTTATTTAACTTTGAACTGTAATAATTCAACTTTTAAGTTAGGTCACTTTATCACTGGTGCTCTTTTACAATAAAATACAACCATTTGATCGCGAAGCAAAATCATTACTAGTTTTGACGAATTTTAATCGAAAAAGATAAGTCGATATAACATCTTATCAATTTTTATGGCGGCACCAACTAAAAATTAAATATTTATGGCCTGTCACTTTAGTAGAAAAACAGTGTCACAGTCTTAGCAAAGAATACTTAATAACTACAAGTCTAAGAGTCGACATATGAGTACTTAGTATTTAAGGAAAATGTTAATAGAAACTTCCATTAATGAGTAAAGGAAATTCTAGAGTAAAATCCATTGCGGTTTTTTAGAAAAATTAGTAATAATGTAAATCCAAATTACTAATAGTCCCGTTAACCCCTCTTGGTAAGCTAAGCTTGTGTTACAAGTGGGTTTACTACACCTAGCGGCCATAGCGGGAATCGAACCCGCATTGGGATCCAATCCGACCCGACACCAATGAGCTCTTGTCACTTAAAATTTGTTTCAAGTTTAGGAAAAAATACTTTATTAAAATTAATAATTAATTCGCTGGCCACATTGCCACGCTGGATGGCCAGGCTAATTCGTTTGTCAAGTTATAGGCCAGCCTTTGGATCGTGAAACAGTTTTTGGGCGTTTGGTCCCCACGGGCCCAGAGTTTCAACTCCAAACGGCCCAAATAATATATGTATGTAAGTCTCATTGCAGCACCAGCAGTCCCAGGGTGGTGTCGGGTTTATCGTCCACAAGTCCCTTGTCAACAACGTGGTCCAGATCGAGAGTGTTTCGGCGAGGGTAGCGTACCTTATACTCAGAATCACCAAACGGTATTCGCTGAAGGTCATACAGGTATACGCACCGACCACGGAACACCCCGACGACGAAGTGGAGACTATGTATGAGGATATTTCCAGAGCCATACATAGCTCCCGGTCCCATTTTACCGTTGTGATGGGGGACTTCAACGCGAAGCTGGGTAGACGAAGCGATAATGAGCTGAAAGTGGGGCAATTTGGGTATGGAGAGAGGAACGCACGTGGCCAACTGCTGGCTGGCTTTATGGAGAGGGAGGGCCTCTTTATGATGAACTCCTTCTTCAGGAAGCCAAAACAGCGAAAGTGGACATGGCTGCATCCCAATGGCGCTATAAAAAATGAGATCGACTTCATCTTGTCGACGAAGAAGCATATATTCAATGATGTCTCTGTGATCAACTCGGTCAAAACAGGAAGCGATCACCGAATGGTAAGAGGCACATTGAATATCAGACCCAAGCTCGAGAGGCGTCGACTGATGAAGTCTACGCTCCGCCCAGCGCCCATCCAACTCCAAAACCCCGAAAGCTTTCAGCTCGAGTTGCAAAATCGTTTCGAATGCCTAGGAGACTGCGAAAATGTGGACGAATACAATGACAGGTTCGTGGAAATTGTCCAAACGACTGGGTCTAAGTTCTTTAAAACCCGTCGTCCAAAAGGAACCAAAAAGATCTCTGACCTCACCAATAAACTTATGGAAGAGAGACGAAACTTGGTTCTGCAGTCCTCTGAAGATGCTGCTCAGTATCGGCATCTTAACAGACAGATCTCCAAGTCTTTGACTCGCGATCTACGCCAATTTAATACAGATCGTATTAAAGAGGCGATTGAGCGTAACAAAGGCTCTAAAGTGTTCGCTAGGGATCTGTCTGTTGGCCAAAGTCAACTGACCAAGCTGAAGACCGAGGATGGCAGAGACATCTCGTCGGGGCCTGAGTTATTGGAAGAGGTTGAGAAGTTCTACGGACAATTATACACGAGTGTACGTACACCTGTCACAAATCTAGCCGAAGACCCAAGAGCTAGACTGACCCGACACTACACCGAAGATATCCCGGACGTCAGCCTGTACGAGATTAGAATGGCTCTCAAACAGCTGAAAAACAACAAGGCACCGGGTGATGATGGAATCACGGCTGAGCTTCTGAAAGCAGGATTTCCTATGGCCACCTTCCGGCTTCATCATCAGACCCCGGTTACCATATAGGATGGAAGTTCTCATCAATACAAATCAAATGAGCCCAAACTCTATGGGGTTATGTCGTTTTATTGCAGAGCTCCTATGGCTACCTTCCAGCTCCATGTCATCATAATATTGCATTGTCATCCAACTTACACATGCATGAAAAATTTCAGCTCAATGGGAAACCAGGAAGTTGGTCAATTTTAAGTTGCAAGATTTGCCTACACCAGACATGTGAAAGTAAATAAAAGCTTGCAATAATAACAAAATACGAGGCCCTCTGGCCAAAATAAAAAAAATATTTTTGTTGAGGGACTGATAATCAGTAAGAGTTCTTTTTTATTGAGGTACTGATAATCCGTTTTTTGCTTCTTTAGCATTTCAGAATGCCACCAGTGTCACCCTTAAAACCAATTGCGTAGAATCTTGTAACTTAGTAGATAACTCATCTACTAAGTTACAAGATTCTATCGGTAAAATTGTATCTTGTATTTAAGTAGGTACCTATTTATATTATGTTATTGCTATTTATCTATGAAAATAAGACAAAATATGTGTTACATAAACACTTAAGAGTCATTTACAGTAGTAAAGTTTGAAAAAAATATTGCTGTGAAATACAGAATCACTTTCGTGGCATCAAAAAATTCAAAACGTTAAAGCTTCCAAACGAAACTCACTATTTGACTGATTTACTGAGAATACAATCTTCACATCAAGCGCTACAATTATTGTTTACAAAAAGTTCAAATAAGTTAGAAATAAAATTCGCCACGAAGGTGACGATGAGAACCGTGGCGATGAGAAATACCCACCCATGTTTGCCCAAGCTTCTTCGTCTTACCACTTATTACAAGGATTCCGAAGTTCCTCTCTCTGGGTAAAGTTCCTGCATTTGTATGTTTGTTTGTTCACGATTCACGTCTACTTTATTAGCTTAGGGCTGGGTTTTCAACTTTCAGACTTTTTCTGTGTAATGGATTGAAAAAAGGAAGGTATTGGAAAGAAACTATGGCGAATTTAGTATTTAGATTAGAATAACGTCATATTGGCGGTTGAGGATACTACGAGTAAAGGCCGTAGCACATTTATCAACCCGGAAAGGGATCGTAACCGTATCAACTCGAGGCGGTCAGTATTCTTTGTATGAAATTCCATACTTCAAAGCATACTTATCCGCGCCGTAACGTAAAATAGAGCGCGAAAGGCAATGACAGCTCGCAAAAGGCGATACGGTTTTGATCCCTTTCCGAGTTTGTATGTCTGCTATAACCTTAATATTCAAGTCAAGCGGAGAATATCCATTAGCAACCAATTTGTCGATGGCTTAATGATCCGCGTACTCATTTAAGCCCGAGGTCGCGGATTTGATCCATGTCATTTTTTGTGCATGATTATAGGAATCTATTTTCTATGTCTTGAATAATATTATTATGTTATGAAGAGATATTTATTTATGTATTTGTGAATAGATACAAATAGATATTACAATAAAAATTATGACTTACCTCGTGCGTGGACAGCGTTTTGTTCCGGGTCCCGGTTGTTATATTTCACTTCATCACTTTTCACTTATTGTACACACACTGACACTACACTACACACTCACACTACACTACACTAACGGGACTATTCCCACCTCTCGTTCCCACTGCTGCAACTCCTGTGTAGCCAGGATCTACAGCTTGACCGCCATAAAAAACCCAACCAATGAACCAATGAAGGTCAAGTTTGTCTCGGGGGAAAGTTAAACTGTCATTGGAGCCGCAACGAATTTAATCAGAAGAACGTAGGACAAGTTCGAAACTACTATACACACTACAAATACACTACACTACACATAATGTTCTCTCCGATTAAAATATTCCTTCGGAATCAATAATAAAATACCCATTAGGTGAGCGTCGCGCGACTACTGAACATTCACAACTACCGTCCAAATTTTATAATAGCTATAAAATATACTAGTTAACACCTACCTACTTCAACTAACAATATCCGTTCTGTGATAGCTCACATCCAAAGGACTAGATTACTAAGAAAATTAATAATTTCTTATCATCATCATTTTAGCTACAGGAACGTCCTCCTCTAAACACGTAATACTTAAGCTGGGTTGCACCATCTTACTTTAACAAACGTCAAAAATCTGTAAAACTCCGTACAAAAACATCGGTTATCCTTAAAGTTACGGTCAAAGTTATGTGGTGCAACTCAGTCTTGGACTTCCCTCAATAATTTTCAGCACCTTTCTGCAAATTTTCTATGATCATCAGTCTACCTTTGGACGTACTCCCATAAGTGATGTGTTATAAGCAGGCTCAATGAATAAAGGTCAAAGCACACTTATCAACCCGGAAAGGGATCAAGACCGCCTTTCGTCGCGAGGCCAGACGTTACGTTACAGTAAGTATGCGTTGAACTACGGATTTTCATATAAAGAATACTGACCGCCCCGAGCTAAACGGTTACGATTCGTTTCCAGGTTGATAAGTGTGCTTCCTTAATGAAGTTCACAAAAGATAACAACAAAAAATATAATCAAAACCACTGCATCAAACACAGTACAAAAGCAACTACAAAGAGCATATCACGTAGACACAGCCGTATGGCGTTGCTTGCGGGTGCAATGTTCATCAGCTTTGAGAGATGGTGCTTGGTGGGCCGAGGGTCGCCTTCGGGGCAGTTTGCATACATCATGTTTGAATCACAGTCCTGAAGAAAAGAGAAAATTTACTTAGTCTTTAATTATAATTACTTTTTGATGTGTTACATTTAAAATACAGTAGGCGGGGCACATAGCTCGTAGTGACGATGGCCGTTGGGGCAGAAAAGTTCTCGAGAAGCGACCACGGGACGGAAGACGTAGCGAGGGCAGGCCTTCCACAAGGTGGACCGACGATCTGATGAAGGTCGCCTGGATGCGAGCAGCGCAGGACCGGTTGTTATGGAAATCCTTGGGAGAGGCCTTCGTCCAGCAGTGGACGTCATTTGGCTGAAACGAATGAACGACCGAACTTTTGGAAACCGTATGTACCGGCTTCGAAACAAAATCTGGGATAACTGGGTGGAATTTTCTGAAGGGAAAGTACTCTTAAAACTGTGCATAAAAAATATTACTCAAAGAAAACATTCCTTTATTTTTGAAAAAAAAAGAGAACTGCATTCAGAGATTTCCGAAAATTCACTTACTTGATCCGGAAATCAAACCGACTAAAATCTGTTAAAAGTTACGGAAAATACAGGGTATTTTCCGTTTTCCGAATTTCCGTTCTCACATGAAAATTGAACGCCCGTATTCACAAACTATGCTTGCTTAAGTGAAGCAGCAAATAGAACGCACAGCATGAATAGAGCTCTGTGATTGGTTCATGTGTCACCCTGTGCGTCCACGCGCACTGTGAGACCTCATAGTAATGTTTGTAAATACTGTTAGTCTTCATACTAGTGGATGAAACTCAATTAAAATCCAGCAGTAGGTAAGCAATTGAAACCGCCCGTTTCATTATCACCCCCCATTCTACAAAATGGCGCCGGCAAAATATCTTAACGAAACAACGCGAACGCTAAAAGTTGTTATCGAGAATTCGCTAACATTTCCCGGAAAATTTAAGGAGTGCAACTTCAACAAATTGTTTTCGTGTTACCAACTGAAATCAGAGTTTTCCTCGGTGGTAAAGGCGGTTCGCGATGCTACTGAGACAAGTGACTTGACTTTCGGCTCTTGTATCGGTATCTTGTCTCGGTCTTTTGTCTCGGTCTTTTGTCTCGGTCCTTTGTCTCGTTCTTTTGTCTCGGTCTTTTGTCTCAGTATCCGTCTCGGTCTTTTGTCTTGTTCTTTTGTATCGGTCTCTTGTCTCGGTCTTTTGTCTCGTTCTTTTGCATCGATAATTTGTCTCGGTCTCTTGTCTCGTTATTTTGTATCGGTCTTATGTCTCGGTCTTTTGTCTCGTTCTTTTGTATCGATCGTTTGTCTCGGTCTTTTGTCTCGGTATTTGTCTCGGTCTTTTGTCTCGCTTTTGTCTAGATTTTTTGTCTCGTTCCTTTGAATTGGTCTCTTGTCTCTTTCTTTTCTCTCGGTCTCTTGTCTCGGATTCGGATTATTTTCTCGGTCTTTTATCTCGGTCTTTTGTCTCGTTCTTTAGTCTCGGTCTTTTGTCTCGGTCTTTTGTTTCGGACTTTTGTCTCGGTCTTTTGTCTCGGTGTTTTGTCTCAGTCTCTTGTCCCGGTCTCTTAAGAGATTTTGTCGCTTTGTCTTTCTTGTCTCTGTCACGGCACGAACCTTCACCTTTACTAGACTAAGGTTCAACAGGTTTACAGGTTTACAGACGTAAACGCATTGATCGCCATCGCGCACCCGTTGGTTTGGCTGAACCTTTAAGAATCGCCAACGCTTCGCCATTTAGAGCACTTCAGTGAAATCGTTAATAAGACACGTACGGGTTGAACATGAGTATTTGATATTTGAGTTTGTTAAACTTAATTTCACGCTGAAATTTTCAACACCAGCCAAATATTTGAATGAAATCGCTGCTAAGAAAAAATGATAATGAGACATATGAAGGCTAGAGACATTTTTGAGTATGCCTCATTTTTTGGAATAAAATCTTTTGTACTTTTAAAGGAGTTAAAGGTTCATTGATATGAAAAAAAGTACATTTAAACATTAAGTCTAAGCTTAAAGTTACACAAATCTAAATTTACTATGAACAACTACGATCAAGTACAAACTTTATAATAAAGGTATCTTCAAAACTACTACATAAAATATCTTGTTACTTCGTCTGAGTGAACAATTTCAAGATTTTACAATTTAAAACTAAATAGCAACTATAGGTCTAGTGCTTATGTATTCTGTGGCTTAACGCAGTTAGTGCCTGAGGTATGGGAGCGGCACGGGAGGTATGACATTGACACATTATGACGTGACAGAGCATATAAATCTGAAGGAGATCTGAAGTCTCGCTGACGTTTGACGTTACAAAAACACACCCGTACCGCTCCTTTACCTCAAGCACTAAGTAAGAGTAGGCGCACACCGTTGATTTTTAGTTGGCCGATAGTTGTGCCCGATTTTAAATTGTATGAAGAATCGGCCAAATCGAATCGGCGTAGTGTGCGCACTCTTATACATGCCCATACTGATCAACCGCCCGACTAAACTATCGGCCGACGAAAAATCAACGGTGTGCGCCTACTCTTTGCGCTAGACCTATTACTTAAAATTGCTTAATACCTCGCCTGAGTGAAGAATATCAACTAACAAGATACAATTTAAAACTTTCTTAATCGCAAAATAATTTTATTGTTAGCAAAAACTCCTATAATTACTTCTCTCTACACATCAACAGAATTCTAACGCCCGTATTCACAAACGATGCTTGCTTAATTAAGTGAAGTAGCAAATCGAACGCACAGCGTTGAATAGAGCTCTGTGATTGGTTCATGTGTCACCCTTTGCGTCCACGCGCACTATGAGATTTCACAGTAATGTTTGTGAATACGGGCGTAAACACTCTACCGAAACAGACAGCGATCAAATTACACACACCAATTGTTGAAAATAACGATACCTGAAACACATCACCTTCGGAGACGATTACTGAGAACTTTTGGAGGGTAGTCGACTGCTCGTGTGTGCACTTCGAGTGAGAAGAGAAGAGTGATTCGAGCGTGCACCGGCGGAATTGAGCGCGAGCGCTGTAAGCGGAGCGAGCGATGTTAGTTTGTTGGACATCATCATTTTAGCCATAAGACGTCCAGCTGAACATAGGCCTCTCTCAATTATTTCCATATTGCCCGGTTGGTAGCGGCCTACATCCAGCCTTCCTGCTACCTTTATGACCTTGGACATAGTAAAAGATAATAAGATAGTGTAGAGACAGAGTAGAATAAGATTAAACGCAGGACGTCCACCCACAAGGTAGACAGACAACTTCGTAATGGTAGCTGGAAGGGGCTGGATGCAGGCCGCTACCAGCCGGCCAATCTTGAAATCATTGGAGGAGGCTAATTTTCAGCAGTGGACTTCATGTGGCTGAATTTTTTTAACAAAAAAAAATAGGTACGTAACCTAAACGCATCAATTTAAAAAAAACACAAACATTTCAAAATTAGAAAAAAAATCTAGAAATTTCGGCGCTTCTATAAAGTTAAATGAACTGTGCGACCTGTCACAAAGTTTTCATACTACCCCCAATTTTAGTAGAAAAGTTTAACATATTCCAGCAACCCGGGGCTGCATCGCATAACCTGGTAAAGCTGGAATCTCAGGTGAGCAGGGCAGGATTTAGTTATTTTACTAGTTTTTCACTACAGCATTTAGTTATTTTACTACGCTAAAGAATAGCTGTGATAAAAACTATTACCTTCCCCACTAGAACAGAAGTTTTGTAATGAAAATAATTACTAAAACATAACTTATCAATGACAATTATAATACAAAAACTAGATAACTGGGTGATCATTAACTCTCTCAAAAAAAACTCTCTTTGAAAATATGCGTTTAGGAACACAATATGTTTTTAAGACATTTAACTAGTTTTTATTCATAGAATTACAATATTATAATAATCTTCCGGAACTCAAAAGGAGCACGTTTTTGATTTTGATTCTAAACTGGAAATTATAAACTAACCCCCTTACTAATAAAAAGTTACACAGTTGTTGATCACTGTTTTAAAATGACATTTCCATACTAAACGTCACTTTAAAACACAGATCAACGAGCGTGTAAGTTTTATTAGTAAGGGGGTTAGTCTTTTAGAATAATACTTTTAAAATGTTTTTCTGTCTTCTCTTGTAGATTAAGGTTTAGTAGCTGCCCCTTAATCCGGTTCTGGAGGCGAGCTGCATTTTTGATCTGGGATTCCTCAATTTTAAAATTTAGGAGGAAATATTTAGGTGGATTTTGCGGAGAATACCTAATAAGTGGAAGGAAGATTTTGTTTAAGGTAAGATATTTTTGCACCTGTCTGTGATGTTTATGCTAGTAACATTTAAAAACAGTTATTTGTTGTTAAGACATACGTATACAAAGCATTTTCAATGAGTTGGGCTCATCATAAACATAAAAGTTTATTATCTACAGGACTCTTCATACTCGTACCAAAATCGCCAAGACAGCCCGGTTTCTAAAGAATCATGTCGGCGACTTGTATTATTTTAAAAGGGTGGGTTGCACGTGCACCATCTTACTTTGACAGTAATTATGACGATAACCGGTGCTTTTTGTATGGAGTTTGACAGATTTTTGACGTTTGTCAAAGTAAGATGGTGCAACCAAGCCTAAGACTCAGCGGGACAGTCCATCCCAAAAAAAAAAAAAAGCCTAAGACTTTTAACAACATGTCGGCGGGTTACAGGGTCATTATTCATTAAGCTTCATCACCATCATCATTATCACCAAGTCATTTATTTAGTCTACATTGCAGGAGGACGACCCTCTCTAATGTATTAAAGGTAAAAGGAGGAATTATCTTATGTTTACAATCTTACTTATCCTCTTCTTCTTTTCGTGTCGACAACAAACCTACACACACAGTGTCAGCCCAAAACTCCGCCACAAGAGTGGCGTTGTCAGTAGCACTCATCAAATCCTCCTGAGTGCAGTTGTTATCTTAAACAACTGTCATCTCCCTAGGTTGTCTGGAAGAGTCGCTTAAATTCTACTCTTTTGTGTATTTTTTTATTATTTTGTGTGTGTGTGTGGTGTACAATAAAGTGTTTTTTTTTATATTACCAGCACAAATAGAAGTGTGTCTCAAAATGCGTCCATTCCAGCGTTTTATTCTTCTGCTCGTCTACCTGCTGCTTGAAGACCGAGTAGCAGGCTTCCCACTCGTCTGACGTGGCTTCTATGCACATGGGGAGATCGTCGTACCCTGAGAAATAAACATTAAAACCATAACATATAGATGCAATTTTTGATAACTTAAAAAAAAATGCCTAAGGCGGAATCGAAACCACGCCTCTTTGCTTGCCAGACGACTGCTTTGATTTCTAAACAATGAAAGACGCCATTGTAGCTTTTTGTGTCTTTATCTTCATACGAAAGTTGTTGCATGTAATGTAAACTAAGTTTTAAAAAACATTTTTATAATGATAACCTACGTGTATAAAGCCTCTGTCATACAGGGCGTGAGAGCAGAGCGTAGCAAGTGTGCGCGGCACAAATACCTAATATTTCACATTGGGGTAAGGTAGTCCGGTCACCGAGGACGTAGAATTTCGTCCAATGAACAACTTTATAAGCGATAAGGATGGGCAGCTTAGGGTCATTGGACGAAATTCTAAGTGCTCAGCGACCGGACTTTAGCTACTTCTACTACAGTCAATTACTCACTCTTAGGGCTATCATATTGTATTGTATGGATTTGGATAATAATTAAAGCCACGTTCATATCACGTCACTGTCACGCTTGCTGTATACTTACTAGAGTCTTAAATGTAAGTTGAAAACAAAGACTGCAATGGATGGAGAAGAAAAAGTTGAATTTAAAACCAGCGCCGTGGCCTTCGTCACCGTGGGCCACGGCATATGCTGAGTGGCCTGGCGTCCCGTTGCAGTGGGCATCTTGTTTGTGAATGGGTGGCACTGCTCAGTTTACTCCTGTTTTTATTTTTTCTTCCATTATTATGTGCCACTATCATGTCTATGTCATCATCATCATTTCAGCCATAGGAACATAGGCCTCCCCCAATGCTTTCCTATGTTGATCGATTGGTAGTGGCCTGCGTCCAGCGCTTCCCTGCTACCTTTACATGTCTATGTAATTGCCTGTATTTGTGTGATGTCCATTGTAATAAATGTATCTTTCTTTCTTTCTTTAATTTGATATCATCATGACTACACTCGAATATAGTTACTGCCGACCAGTAGACAGTGGGAAATGTATATCTGTTCGTGTTCGCGTACTAAACTTTTACAGCCGTTTTTTGCTTACTCACGCAATTTCATCAAAGTGTCAATTTGCAAGTCAGATGAGTGAATATGTTACGACTGCGAATTTGAGAAGTCAGCCGTGAAATCCGAAATCCTGTGACCAGTATAGGCTTTTAATCGCGCCACGATAAGTTTTTATCGATTTTACGCGATAAGTCCATACATTTGTCGTCCAAAATTGTCGATAAGATGTTATCACGGCGTACATCCACGAAGACACGCTCCACCAATTTTCGGTCGAGGGAAGCACGGGGTGCGGGAAGTTTGATCCGACCGAGCGTCATTATTGTAATGTGTGTGTGCACTCATGGATGATTTAGCGTGTACCGATAACATTCAAACATTAGCGGAAGAATGGTGGGGCGCGTCTAAGTGAATGAAACGATCTATATCAGGTGGGTCAGGTCATGACCTTACATCGCGAAGGTCATAAGAGTTGACTATGACAGCTCAAAGAGAAAGAAACATCCATAATAATCATGAACAAATCTTCAATAACAAGTGATAAAATAAGCGTTATAAGCCAACTACAAAGGAAGCTTCACAACAATAAAGTACAAATAGCTACCTACTTATAAATAAGTCAGCCGTTGTTAGGGGTGTCTTCCTTATACTTTTTAAGTAAAAAGCTTTACAACCGGAATGAAAATGGGCAAAAAGAGGCTTTATATAGTAATAAGTTATAAGAAAATTATCTTGAGGATTACATTTTTCTGCGAAAGCGTAGGATCGAATTCCTTTAAGGTTTTGTAAGTGATTTTTTTTATACCACCAATAGGCATTTGCTTGAAACTTCTTTGGTCACATTAATTACTTATACAGGACTAGCTTTCCGCCCGCGGCTTCGCCCGCGTGGAATTTGTCTGTCACAGAAAAACTTTATCGCGCGCATCTCCGTTTCAAAAACCGGGATAAAAACTATCCTATGCCCTTTCCCGGAACTCTATCTCTATGCAAAATTTCATCAAAATTGGTTCAGTGCTTTAGGCGTGAAAGCGAGGCAGACAGACAGACAAACAGTGGCTTTACAGTTCATAATGAAAAATGGAAAATATAGAGAATGCTCTTTTGGATTCTCCTATCTCTATAATATTCTTTGGGAAAAACGCTTACGAAGTTCGCAATGTTAATGTCCTTGGTGTACAGACGACAGCACATTTCTGTTGCAAAATGACCTCTATCACAACGACATAAGAAGCCACAGTGAAGCTTGATGTGCTATAGTCTATACTGGGAAACTTTCGAGGCCGGAGTTTTAATTTATTTTCAGATTAGCATGTCGATGCTTAAAATAGAGTTTCGGATTAAAAGATCACGGAAGTTGGGAGCACGTGGCGCCATTTGTAAGTCAATTTGAGATACTTTATTCTGAAATAATTTGTAAAATAAGTACACACTATAAAAATATAAGGTCGAGCGCTGCTGCGTTCTCCCTGCTGCCGGACTTGTGGACTCCTTTCTCCTCTTGCATCTCCGTCAGCAGGGGTACGCCGTGACAACAGAGGGCCCCCGCTGAAAATCAGTTTCAAGACAAGCCCTGGCGGTCTTAATGTACGCTGAGTGGGTGCCTTTTTGTCAGAGGGGCACAAGCAGTTAATTGTCCACTTGTTTATTTCTCTCTGTTTTAATCTATGTCTTACCTGCTTGTATACCTTTCTTGCAAATAAAAAGTTTTCTATTCTATTCTATTCTAATAGACGCAGTGCCTGAGGCATGGGAGCGGCAGGGAAGGGGTGGCAATGACATAATATGACGTGAGCGAGCATACAAACCTGAGCACATCTGAAGTCTCTCTCCCATACCTTCGAAACCGCGTTCCTTGGATCCTGCCTGAATCGTTGGGCTATAGTCGCCTTCATTTTTAAATCTTCATCTCACTGATTCTACAGTCACAATACTTACCACTTCAATTTGAGAAACCTCGTCGCCAATTAAGCATCTTTAACCTAATTTCAACTCTATGTAATTGCAATAGAGTGTAAAATGGCTTACGCGACAGGAACCACTCATCGTCGCAGATGTTGTCCACGACGTGCATATGCCCTTTGATGCTCTCTTCGTCAAAGAAATAGTTGAAAAGTCTTTAATTTATACCATTTTAATATTAATAAAGTTAATCCTAAAATATCTTTATCCCACAGATTTCACAGTCGCAATACTAACCACTTTAATTTGAGAAACCTCGTCGCCAATTAGGCGTCTCCATTCTAATCTCGACTTTACTCAAACACAATGAGGTTCAAAATGGCTTACGCGACAGGAACCACTCATCGTCGCAGATGTTGTCAACGACGTGTATATGCCCCTTGATGCTCTCCTCATTGAAGTGGTTCTCGGTCACTTCGCGGCAGTCTGAGTTCCAGTCTATGGCACAGTTCGTAAGATGCCGGATTGCTCTGTGGAGGGACCATTAGTTGATGAGTTTACGCCCGTTCACAGACGTTACTATGAGGTCTCACAGTGCGCGTGGACGCACAGTGTGACACACGAACCAATCATAGCTCTATTCAACGCTGTGCGTTCGATTTGCTGTTTTACATAAGCAAACATCTGTTTTTTACTTAACAAGCAACTGTTATTGAGAAAAATCTGTTTGAAAACCTGGACTCTTTTTTCATTGGTACGAGTAGGTATATTAAATGCTTTTTATATGCTTTGTTTGTTGACAAATAAATTAAATACCTGGAAGTGACATCAAACATTGATATTTCCACACATTTCGTATCTTTGAGAGCTCTTTTTAACACGAAAACAATTTAATCCATCAATATTATTTTCCGTTCCACGTTCTGAGAACATTATTTATTTAGGAATATTTCCTAAGGGTGTGAAACTTGCTCTGATAGAGAAAATGGCGCAAAATGTGTGTGAGTTTATGTGGCACAGTTTATTGGAGTCAACGAACGTTTCATACGGGCAGCATATTACAGGTCGATCACCTACAAGCTCCTTGATTATGAAAAAGGAACAATATACGTATTATTTAAATTTTTTAGGTTACAGAAAGAAACAAAACAAAAAATCTAACTTTTATGTTTACTTCATAAAGTGATACTCGTTGACTTTGAGAAATCAAATAATTCTCATGATCATGTTTTTCAAGAAATCATGAAGTAACAGAAGTAGGATATCATAGCATAAATAAAAGAAAATAGCAATTTGTAACTCTACATAATATTTGGCCATTAATATAGAAGAAAATGTTTTCTAAGCCAAGGTTTCTCAGCCAACATTGACACGACACACCACCCTACCGATCCAACCACTGGGAAGCGGGCGAAATTTCCTATAGGTGAGTCCCGAGTTTGGGAACTTGTATTAGATGAGTTGTGACCCAGACTACTTTGGGAACCACTGTTCTAAACCACAAATTAGGAGATAAATGACAATTACGGAACCCTCTGTGGGCCAGTTTGACTAGCTCTTGCTCAGTTTTTGTTACCCGCGGTTTTGCTACAATAAATATCTATTATTAAAGAATGTTTTTCCATTACTCGTTTACCCCATTCCATAGATCTAAAAAGATTATTATGTACGTGTGTGAGTACCATTTGTTTCCTAGAGATTTTGTAAACAGGTTCATTCACCTTTAGTTGTAAAGAATTTTCTCTACACATTGAGGCGCTAAGCGATTCGGTAGCGACCTAGGGCTTAGACAACTAGTAGTTACACAATGAATCATCATCATTTCAGCCATAGGACGTCCACTGCTGAACATAGGCCTCCCCTGATGATTTCCAAATTGACCTGTTGGCAGCGGCCTGCATCCAGCGCCTTCTTGATACTTTTACGAGATCGTCTGTCCACCTTGTAGGTACACGTCCTACGCTGCGCTTGCAATAAAGCGTTATTAGTTCAAGGTCGAAGGAAGGCGCTGGACGCAGGCCGCTACCAAGCGGGCAACATGGAAAGCATTGGGGGAGGCCTATGTTCAGCAGTGGACGTCCTATTGCTGAGATGATGATGATGATGATAGTTCAAGGTCATTAAAGTGACTGATCTCTTATGACACTCCGCAGACTACATACTTTTACTTTTTGTCGGCCGACAGATTAGACGGAATGTTAATCATTATGAACATGTATGGAAATACGCACATTATTCACTGATTTGGTACGTATCGGCCGATTCCTCAGACAAATTAGAAGTCGACCAAACTATCGGCTGACAAAAATTCTGTAGACTGCTGGAATTCTAATAATAGGAAGCTGGACCTACTTGCACCAATCAGCCACCTTCGCTGGCATCGGAGGCGACTTCCTACTGGAGTTGTACACTATAGCAGCTTCCACGGTACAGTTCAGGGCATATCTAACAGAAATAGAAAACTTTATTGACACAGTAATTAATAAACAACAACAATACAAGAAGAATAAAAACAATTACTGAGGCACTGCATCAATAGGCTCCTGCTCAGCATTTATCAAGAAGTCGTAAGGGCGTGTCAAGAAGCTGGTCTTCAGCAGACGCCCTTGCTTTTGGCATCGCGCATCCCTTCGAGGAGATACCGACTCTAGTTCGATATACCTCAAAAGGGTGCGCAATCCAGGGACGTTTAAATACCGTGGTACCTATCTTCGTTCGTTTCAGCCGAAAGACGTCCACTGCTGGACAAAGGCCTCCCCAAGGTTTTCTACAAAGACCGGTCCTGCGCTGCCCATATCCAGGTACCTCCCGCGACCTGCACATGATCGTTGGTCCACCTAGTGGGAGGCCTGCCCACACTACGTCTTCCGGTTCATGATCGCCCGAGAACTTTTCTGCCCCAGCGGCCATCAGCTCTACGAGCTATGTGCCCCGCCCCCTGGCACTTGATTTTAGCGATTCTGCGAGCTATGTCAGTCACGTTGGTCAGTTTGTCCACCTATCTTACGCTAAGCATTTTTATAAATACCTGGAGAAGTCTTCGCAGTTGATATTCTTCATCAGTACCATCTTCTCCTTATCCTTCGTGAGGGTGGTGACAGGTTCAAACTCCATCTCTTCAGACGTGGGGAAGGTCCGGCGCGTTGACTCGTCGTCGTAAAGATCTAGGTGGTAGAGATTGTAAACTACTATAAATATAACTAGCTGTGCCCGTGACTTCGTACATGTGAAAATAGTTTGAATAATATTTCCCGTTTTGGCAAATTTTTTTTTACTGCTCCGCCCCTAATGGCTGTTCCTTCCTCAATAAACGGGCTATTCAATACAAAAATAATTTTACAAATCGGATTAGCAGTTGCTAAGATTAGCGCGTTCAAGCAAACAAAATTTTCAGCTTTATAATATTATTTATTTTTATTTTTTTTTTATTTAAAGACTTTATTGCACACACAACAATGTTCTGTACAAAAAGGCGAGCTTAATGCCATACGTCATTCTCTACCAGCTGACCTTGAGCAAAACAGAGATATTTAGTAGGCGGTGCTAAAAAGCTACAAAAATGTACACAATATAATACATAAAATATTATAATATATATTTATACAAAATATATAATACATAAATACATACATATAATTTATATAAAAATGGATGACGAGAGGTAAGGGAGGATAGGAGAGGACAAGGGAGAAAAGGAAAGAATAAGGGAGATCAAGACGACATGATGCGTTCAAGAAAATGTTTGCGCACAGAGTGTTTGAAAACAAACTTACTAGGAGCCTGCCTGATGTTCTCGGGAAGAGCGTTCCAAAGGCGAATGGAATTGAGGAGAAATGAATTAGAGAGGAAACCAGTGCGGTGGGAAGGAGTGGAGAGAAGGAGCGTGTTGGACGAACGAAGTTGACGTGCGTGCGTCGAACTCAGAAGTTTAAACTGTGTTTTCAAATAGGAAGGGGAGTTAGGGTCATTTAAGATGGTAAAAAGGGTGGTAAGGATTCTAACATTGCGCCGTGCAGGGACAGGTAGCCAATGGAGCTCAGACCGGTGGGAAGAGACATGGTCATATTTGCGAAGACAAAATATGAACCGGATGCAATTGTTCAGAAGGCGGTCCAGTTTGTTGAGGAGAACTTGATTAAGGTCCGGATAACACACATCAGCATAATCGATGACCGGAAGAATAAGAGCGTGGACAAGCGAAATCTTGGTTTTAACAGGGAGAAAATACTTCAATCTCCAAAGAGAGCGCAGCGTGGCGGTGACCCTTCGACTAACCTCGGAAACATGTGTCGTCCAGCTTAGAGTAGAATCGAGATATAGACCCAAATTTTTAACACTGGTACAGTATGGTATATTGACACCGTTATAGGCGACAGAAGCGACACCATCCAGATTTAAACGGCACAGTTGACGTTGGCTACCGATAATTATCGCCTGGCATTTGTTAGGGTTAACAGCGACGCCGTAACGATATGACCATACCCTGATATGCTCAAGGTCATCATTTATGCGTTGGACAGCCTGGTCAATTTCATCGAAGCGACAGTGCCGGTACAGTTGGAGGTCGTCGGCATACAGATGGTTACGTATATTAGTATACTTTTTATGTAGATGGATGTGAAGATCAAGTAACTTGAGCAGGGTACTCATTTAGCCGTGTAGCATGTAATATATCAGAGCTGCTTGCGCGTGGTTCGCAGGGAGATCGTAGCGACCCGCCGAGTGGCAGTATTACTGCGAGCATAAAGGCGGCTCGCAGTAGGATCCAGGAGCACGCAGCCAGATACGCAATGACCGTGGACGAGCCGTACTCACTTGAAGGTTGCTTACGTTACATGCTAGGTTACGTGAAACATAGCAGGTGAGTACTCTGCTTTAGTCATAGTCATAGTCATATGGGTGTGGTTAGAATGTGGACGGGCAAAAAGAACCCTTTGAATTACTGTCGTCCTTCTGATGGGTTGAACTACACCTTTTTATTTAAGAAATCGTGGACCCAATCAAAAAGTTTGCGTCATTAACAAGTAATTCAGAGCCAATAAGGTACGTGTCGCCACTCGAGAACTTTTCTGACCCAGCGGCCATCAGCTCTGCGAGCTATGTGCCCTGCCCACTGCCACTTGATTTAAGCAACCCTGCGGGCAATGTCGGTCACTTTGGTTCTCCTCATTTTTGATTGAATCACGCTGCTTTGTGCTTTTTCTCAATAAATTTGAATGTAAAGAAGAGTCAAGCTTTTTTCAGGAAGTTTCAGGCTATGGTTTGGGAAAAGTCTTAGCTTTTTGCAAGAGCTTTTTAGCTTCATAAAAGTGGTACTTACAGGCCGAGATTACTATGTCACAAACCATAGTTAAAACAAGCAACCGTTTGATCATTTCGTAAGAGATTCCTTTTAAGAAGCATCGCTACAATTTATTATTTATTTTCACTGGTACTCATGTTGTCAGAATTGTCAGTTTTCTTGACGTTTTGTCGTAATTTTTTCCTCTTTTAGCGCGTCTCATTCCACGCTGTTGCTATTTGAAGGGACACCAATTTCTGAAATAAGAAATTGTCTATGATATTAATACGCGACATATTAAATCTATTTAGGGTCACCGACAAAATTAAATAATACAAACAGACTGTTCGTTTTGTACCATTTATTACAACTAAATCAAATTGCGCCTTCCGGTACAAGGTGGACCGACGACATCGTGAAGGTAGCAGGGAAGCGCTGGATGCAGGCCGCTACCAATCGATCAATGTGGAAAGCATTGGGGGAGGCCTATGTTCAGCGGTGGACGTCCTATGGCTGACATGATGAAATCAAATTGATTTGGTAAGTTATTAAAGTTTCAGACGAGACGCGAATATGAGTAAAAGAAAAAGTCATGTGAGTAATTTGAAAAATTAGACTTTATCTTTTGTATAATTCCTGTATCTCCTAAATTGCTAGACTGATTTTGATGACCGAACTGTTTGTTGTTGTAGTGTGAGTGTAAGTAGTAGAATGGCATAAATAATGGTGCAATCTCTATGAAACACTGCTTTAGCACAATTAAAATTATACACCGTGTCCCAAAATTCAACGATAAGCCGGCGCCGTAGGTTTACTTACTTTTCCTAAGGTTTAAGAAAACTTACTAGTTAAGTAAAATAAAAAAAAAATGTTATTTTTTCTTATTTTTACAAAATTAGTCATGACCATGTTATCAACGGCTTATCGTTGAATTTTGAGACAGAATGTACCTATCATGTTCGTTTAACGTACATTCACATACAAATCTATAACAAAACAATATTTTACCCTATAATGGGAAACCCTAATCGCGTAGAAACAAAGCCAAACCACGGTTCACTTCAGTTACAGTTACAAATAACTGAACCGTTAGATTAACGGTTCAGATAAACGTAATTGGATGTGCCCACTAGCCTTATAACTCAAAAGGGTGGAAAAACAAAGCTATTGTATTGTACTTTATAAGGTCGTAGTTTACTCGTATTTATTTATTTTTAGGCACAGTTGACTTAAGGTCCTATGTCCCCTAGATGGAGCAGGGGGCGTCCACAACAGTCTGCCATCGCGTTCGGTCTTGAGCTTCGCGCTTGATCTCGCTCCAGGTCTTGCCGATTTTCTTCGCCTCATCTGCTTAGGCACAGTACATAGATTTACCAATTTACCAGACTCCGTTTTACCCCCTTAGGGATTGAATTTTGCAAAATCCCGTCTTAGTGAGCACCTACGTTCTAAAAGGAACTCCCATGCAAAATTTGAGACTCCTATAGCACTTGTAGTTACTGAGATTTCGTGATGAGTGAGTGAGTGAGTTATATAAATAGATAATGCATGTTATTATTTCTAAAATCAAAAGTCTTTAACCCAAAAATCACTGTCATGATTCAAACCATACATGGCTTTCAAATCACCAGCTCCAAAGCCTTCTTTCATAGACGACCATTGAGAGGATCCCAGATCTTAAATGACCGCTCATTACCATCAGAAACCTATTAGATGTGGGGCCGCTTTCAATAAGTTGCGCTGAATGGGGGCTAGATGTAGGAGGGGCAGGGACGAAGTTAGGGCTAACTGGCTAAGTCTAATACAATTAGGTACTTATTAAACTTTTTTTGTAGGCTTTTATATTGTGTAGATTTTATAATCCTTTCGTATGTAATCATGTACCTAATTCGTATGTAATATTTTCGTATGTAACCATGTGTAGGTCCTACCAGAATAGTATAATTATTCGCTCAGATTTTCTGTGATCACTTGTATTCTGCCGATGCTAAGGTTGATGCAAGTAGAAAATAATTTTGAAACTTTTAGTTTAAATCAAACTAAGAACAAGTAGGTACTTAAACGCGATCGTCGTCGTTGTGGTTTCAGTTCAATGACGTCAACTGCTGGATAAAGGCCTCCCCCAAGGATTTACACAGCGATCGGACCTGCGCCGTCCGTATCCAGGCATCTCCGTGACCTTCAGCTTACCAAGATACCTTTAAATGAGATATTTGTTATGAATATAAAAATTCTTGATACAATTTCAATGTAGTATTTACATGAGTATTTATCTACCCTTGAAGTTTCAGCTTTATTGCTAACCATGGTCACAATTGCAGTAATCCGTAAAAACCGTGCACTTTCATAGAAATGGCACGTTTGAGAGCCCTTGTTCTGTTTCAAATGCAACGCGAAGACAGAAAATCTTATTTTTTTCTGTTCTTTTAGCCCAAGTCCGGCCCTGCCCAGGATTTGACGGCAGCCATTGTGCGGGCTGCGTTGTTTACCCCGGTGTAATATTCGCGCTCTTTGTGCGGGGCATGCCGCCGAACTTTTGTTCGGAGGTTCGATTCCTGCCAATATCGAATAGAAGCTTTGAAAATTCAGTTTTAGGATTGCACACGATCTGTTTGTGCTGGCTCGTACATATATGTGACATAGCACTTTGTTTTTTTTTGTCGCTGAGGAAATGCTTTGCGCGGGACTCCCGGCGCCCTGAAAAGGGCGCTGCTTCGTCCTGAAAAGGACAAGGACGGGGTATACCCACTAAAACCTCCGCGGCGTTTCGTCATCGCCCGAGTGGGGGTGTCGCGAGTATTCGGCCGTAGCCTTCGACTTCCGCTACACATGTGAATAGCGCTTTTTAACTGAAGTCTGATAAAGTCTTTATTGGGTGTCAAAAAGCCCAAGAAAATGTTTTGTTGCGCTTGGTTTAGTACCGTATCGTTTCAGCTAATCACGTCCACTGCTGGACAAAGGCCTCCCCCAAGGATTTCCATAACGACCCGTCCTGCGCTGCCTGTATCCAGGTATCTGCTTCCCGGGACCTTCAGATCAGGGATGTTATGGATATCCGTAACCGTAACCGAAACTTTCGGATATCCGAAATAAAAATATACCCGAAACCGTAACCATAACCGATTCAAAAGTTTCGGATAGTTTCGGATGTAGGCAGTTTAAATTGTTTTTTGTATAGCATTATAATTATGTAAAGGCATAACAGCCTGATTTTAGTATCAATTTTGTTTTTTTTTTTACTTTCTATTCGATGTAAAGTGTGCGGCCATGAATGAACAGTGTTGGACAACTATTGCAAATTGCATTTTAAAGCACAGATATCCGTAGCCGTAACCGAAACTTTCGGATATCCGAAATAAAAAAACATCTGTAACCGAAACCGTATCCATAACCGAAACTACATATCCATAACATCCCTACTTCAGATCGTCGTTCCACCTAGTGGCGGGCCTGTCCACACTCTTTCGGCCCGTGGTCGTTACTCGAGAACTTTTCTTCCCCAGAGGCGTATTAATTATTGTAAATACTGTCTCGAGTGTTAGTTTAGGTAAAGCGATTTATCATCTGATTCACCTGTAATCTATAATTTACATTAATGCTCAATAAATCGTTTTAATCGATAGCAATCCATGCGTGATGAATCGAGGCGATAATTGATGAATCGATATGTGATTCGATTTGTAATTAACGTCTGATCTGACTTGATTGTGTTGGCTCCTCCCATAGGAGAGGAGATCTCGTTTTATCTCGTAAGTATGTTTTAATCTTAATAAAGTAAGGCATTTCAATATGACTATAGTCCGCGCCAAAAGTAGTGGGCTTTTGTAAAAAATAAATACAAATACATTGATACTGGGCTGTCTATGTTTTTTAAGTTTTCCGGCTCATCATCATCATCATCATCATCATCATCAACAGCCCTTTACAGCTTTGGACTATGAACCTCCTCCACTTTAGTGGAGGGTTTTGCCATAATCTCCACGCTTGGCCGACGGATTGGAGATCGCAGTTTTATCAGAGATCGTTGCTGTCCGTTCTCTGTTTGATGTGTAGTCCCTAAGTCGCCTCTTACGACACCCGCGGGAAGAGTAGGGGTTGGTGACAAATGTATTCTACTCTGCCGTCACCACACGGCGTTGCAAGTTTACCGGCTGTTCTCTCAAAAAATGGCAATATCTTGTGAAGACTTGATACAAATAAAACAAAACAACAATTAGTACTAGGTAGGTATTTAGAAGTCACCATTTGAATTAGACAAGTTTTTTAATACCTGAGAATTGAGTTTCTTATGGATAAAGCAAATTATTTTGCTTACACGAGTCGTCTTAATAAGAGAAGACATTTACAAAAGTTTTTAAACACGTGTTAAGCAAGCCTTTTACAAACTAAGTTCAACGCTTTCTTAACTGAATAGGGTTCAAAATTCAAAAGCAAAGTCGAACGTGATATTACTGGAGAAACCTAATTTGTACCCTGAAAGGGGTGAAATACTATTCAGGACGAAGCCCCTTTTGAGGGAAGTTAGAAACTGAGTAAGACTGAATAAACGGGTAAAAGCTAAGTAGAGATATTGTCTTAAGGCGTATAGACTTTTATACCTGCATTGAGCTATTATTATAAAAGTTACAAAATTACAGTTACTGCATTTTGGGACTTGAACTGGGGTACTATCGTCATCATTTCAGCCATAGGACGTCCACTGCTGAACATAGGCCTCCCCAATGACTTCCGTAATGACCGGTTGGTAGCGGCTTGCATCCAGTACCTTTATGAGGTCGTCAGTTCACCTTGTGGGTGGACATCCAACGCTGCGTTTTCCAGTACGTGGCCTCACTCCAGAACCTTGCTGCCCCATCGGCCGTCAGTTCTGCGTACTATGTTCCCTGCTCATTGCCACTTCAGCTTGCTAATCCGTCGGGCTATGTCAGCGGCTTTAGTTCGTTTACGGATCTCCTCATTTCTGATGAGATCTCGTAAAGAAACGCCGAGCATAGCCCTTTCTTTTATAGGCTGAATAAAACTAAATGTGGCAGGTTATTTGTAACTTCAATAGCAAAAACTTATACAAGTCGCATGCGACAGAATATGCTGGAATTACTTGAAATTAACACCAATCTGTAACCAATATTCTTGCAAATAAATGATTTGTTACTATTTCTAGCTATCAGTCCACGG